GAACAGGTTGGGAGTTATTAACTAAGCTAGATATTTTCAGATCAGAAAAGCCTAATAAGAGTCAAAAAATTAGCTAGAAGTGATTACAGAGACATGGGTATTATCTTTAAAACTCATGGAGGGCAGATGCGGTCTTAGGAGAGAGGAAAAGGGCCAATATAGTGTCCATCTTAAAAATAAATAAAGGGGAAGGGAGGGGAAGCCAGGAGGACTTAGACTATTTGTAATTTCCTAACTTGAATATCTGGAAAAATACTACAGCATATCAAACAATTTTAAGCACCTACATAATAACAAAAGCTGTGCAACAACCAACATGGATTTGTCAAAAGCAAGTCATGATTTTCTTCTATGGTAAGGTGTAAGGGGGCAAAGCAATGGATGCAATATACCTTGACTTAAGCACGACTTTTGATGTTGTCTCCCACAATATTCAGGTAAGCAAGCTAAGCAAGGCAGGTTTAAAAATTCAACAGCTCAATGTCAAACTAGGAGGGAAGTATCAAGTATCAGATTATTAATGAAGACATTGAACAAAACCAGCCACAGGACTGACCTCTGGGGCACTCCGCTTGATACTGTCAGCTAGACATTGAGCCACTGATTACTACCCATTGAGCCTGACAATCCAGCCAGCTTTCTATCTACCTTACAGTCTATTCATCCAGCCCATACTTCGTCAGCTTGCTTGCAAGAATGTTGTGGGAGATGGAATCAAAAGCCTTACCAAAGTCAAGGCTTATCATTAATGTTTGAGGAAATGTAATCTGTTTATATCATTAAGTCAAATTAGAAGGCATAGTAAAATACAGCAAATAAACAAATCCAAATCTATACACTTTTGTTCCGTGCAAGTTGTTTCCTGAATTACAATTAGTATAAACTTTGGGGGCCTGATGTTTATGGAACATTAAATCTGCAGCATTTAACAATTGAAACTGTAGCTTTTAACAATCATAGATAAACACTAGACAAAAGCAAATGCCCACCTGTTTTACAGGAACCCTACCAATATTGTTAACGGCCAATGCTTAATATTTATGATATACAAATTATGAGTAGGTCACTTGCACAAGAGTTACCTGCCCTCTTCAATTTATTTTGAGATACCATTAGTTCTCTTTAGCCCCTGGCAGACATTAAAGTAACGAGCAACAAGGAACTGGCAAATTTTATATCCCATCCCAAACACTACACATACTGCCTTGTCACATGTGAACGAAAGAACACATGATGTTTGGGATGAGGCATAAAATTCCTCAGATCCCAAATGCACCACTGCAGGGCTAACCCCAGCCTGATCCTATAGATTAGGCATGGGTAGCTTTGCCCTAGACTCCAGGACTTCCCCAGCCCTGATTCCCAAGGCTCAACTACGTGTTGGAATGAGGCATGGGCAGTGCGAGTTCATTTGGGACTCAGAGCTACCCTTACCCAATCCCAAGGTTCCACATTATAACGTATTTGTGGCTAGTTTACCATTTTATGGCACCATCTTTTGGCCAACATGGGACGTGTAATTTATGGCATGATTAACACACTAATCATGCCATAAATATGCCTACCAGGGGTCATTAAGAGCTAAGTATAGATCTGCAGGAAGATATCACATCATGCATTTGCAACAGTTATTTCAAAATATAGAATGCTTTTATTCCATTGAAGAAATAGAGCTTTTAACCCTTTGTTACTTGAGAGCTCAACTACAGAATCCTCAGACTAGCTCTGTGACTAATATTTTACAAAAATTAGTGCCATGTGATTTTGCTCAACAATTTTGCTTCTGAAAGTGATAATTAATAGTGATATTAATGATTTCCAAAGCAAACGACAAATCACTATCTAAGAACATCCATCCAAAACATCTTAAACACCAGACCACTTGTAAAGTTCATATTCTAACCACTGACCCACAGTTTAAAGGAACAGATTTTACTAATAAGACTATTAGTAATTCTGAAAGCAGAAAATGATTCCTTTAAGCACAGAATACTTTTGTCTTATTCTTTACATATATCAAACCCTCACAGGTTTCAAGTGACAAAAAACAAGAGCAAAAATAGGTATCTATCAGTATCTAACAACTGTGACAAAAAGATAGATCTTGTCAGTGAAATACTGAAGCATGTATAAAAGTTCTATCTATGAAGCTAAACTGAAGAATACTGAAGGACGTGATCATTTTTACATTAACACACAACCAACTATAGCTGGGCATAAAAAATTCAAATATCAGTAACCATTTCCTCTTGATAATAAACAAATCAGTGAGGTGGGATGTCAGGTAAGTCCCAGGCAAATTAAAAAGTCAAAGGCACAGTCAAACACAATTTTAGAAAGGTATTTAAAAGACTGAGTGTTTAAAAGTTTCTTTTACCAGTTTCAATTTTGCAGATCAGATTTTGAGTTGGTATAAATAGCATAGCTCCATTAACTCCTGTAGAAGTGTACCAATTGAAAGTCTGGTCCTATATATTGTTAACATGCAACTGAAAACTCTCTCATGGGTTGAGTTAATAAAGGGCATCACCACAAAGATGAACCAAAAAGGGGCTTATTTCTTTGTTTTTCTCTTGTACAGTAAACTATTTCCAATTTTGCCACATTGGGTAACATTTGAAATGTAGACTTTTAATATGACTTAATTTTTTCATAAGTTTTTTCTACGATTTACTGTAGAAAACGACACCTAACGGATTTTAAAACTGAGCTTGACACCAAAAGCGTAAAAACATTAGTAATCTATATGATTAAGTTTTCTGGGAAGGGAAGCCTACTTTTTTAAATACTTACATTTTGAAATTCAAGTAATAGCGTTCTAATAAAGTAGTCTGTTCTTGCTTGTTCAGCTTCCTAAATAAGAGGAAACATCTGTGAATGGATAGGAACTTAAATGAACAGCAAATTAAAAATAAGCAAAATTCAAGATTTATTCTCTAGTGTCATGAGAATAAAAATTCCGGTAATTAAGATTTTTTTTTTCTTTAAAAAAAAACAAAAGCACTGATACATATCTGTAATATGAAACAGGACATGTTAACAAACTTGTTTTAATATTTTAAGAGATTAAAAATATAAAACTTGGATCTTTCCATATGAGCTATTTTACAGGAGACATTCCCCATAGAACTAAGCTGTCATTAATCCCACCATTTCTTCAATTGTAGCATTTCTAAGGTCTCCAAGGCACCATGGGTTCACCCACTGTCCAAAGCAGAGATGGTTCCCTACAAATACCTACTGCAAAAGGTAAATGCATTTTTGAGCTGCATTGATAGAAGCATTAGGTGCAAGACACAGGAGGTGATGGTGCCTCTACTCCATACTGGTTATGCTTCATCTGGAGTACTGTGTGCAATTCTGGGCTCCACATTTTAAAAAGGACGTGGAGAAGTTAGAGAAGGTCCAGAGGCAACCAAAGTTGATAAAGGGCTTGGAAAGCAAGTCATATGAGAGGCTGAAGGAGCTAGGCATGATCACCTTGCAGAAAAGGCACTTAAGAGAGAACATGATAGCAGTCTTCAAATACCTGAAGGGCTGCCATAAAGAAAAAGGAAAGCATTTTTCCCCTCTCACTGCAGAAGACGCAACAGACCAATGAACTGAGGTTGCCACAAAGTAGGTTTAGATTGGGTATTCAGAAAAACTTCCACACTGTTTTAGCAGTGAAGTAGTGGAATTGATTGCCTAAGGAAACTGTGGCCTCTCCATCACTGAAAGTATTCAGGAAGAGGTTGGACAACCACTGGTTGGGGATGATGTAGGCATAGCTATGCCTCTGTTCTACTATGGGTATTTCCCATGCTTCTGGGCTTTGCTTACTGCCGCCATCCGGCCACTCTCCTGTCTGCTACGTGTCAGGGTGTTTTTAAACCTTCCTGAGAGGCACTGGGTGTTGGCTACTGCCAAGATTGGGGACTTTGACTGGGGTGTGCCATTGCTTCTGAAGGGACCAAAGCTGGAGGTTCATTGCTAGAGGATCTTGGTCCTGCATTGAAGGTCAAACTGACTGCCATATTTGGGGTAAGGAAGGAATTTTACACCATGGTCAGATTGGTATGGACTGTGGGGGGTTTTGCTTTCCTTCATAGCAGAAGGTGTAGCCTCCCAGGATCTCTTGAGCATATACTGACAACATTTCACAGAAGCAGGGCATTGGTTGCTGTGGTTCCCCTTCTTTACCTGCAGCAGGTTAGGGTGTTAGGCCTGTGTTGTGTCAGAGTTAACAGTAACCTTATGTAGAGTTTAAGATTACAGTTTGTACAGGATAGTTTAAACAGGGATCATCCTACCTCATGCAGGGGAATGAACTAGATGACCTCTGGAAGTCCCTTCCAGCCCTACTTCTCTATGACTCTATGACATTTCAGACTTCCTCATGCTGCTATACCTGCCCTTCTTAGAAGATCACAGTCAGTATGCCTAGGGACTCCAGAAAGGGCACCAGCCAGAGAGCAACTCCAACAGCACCCACTTCCTGACCAAACATGCAAAACAGACTCACCATCACCAATACCCTGTTCCATCAGAAAAACAGGCACAAACCATCATGGCAACACCCGTGACCTAAGCACTGGCACCTGACAGACTATGTCATTGTTTGTGCCCAGAATCACAAAAATGCTCACATCACCCAAGCTATGCTAGGAGCTAAGCTATTTTACAGGAGACATTTTTAGTTGGTATAAATAGCGTAGCTCCAATAACTCCTGTAGAAGTGTACCAATTGAAGGTCTGGGCTATTTTACAGGAGACAGGAGAAAAAGGATTGATGGGAAGAGATGGGATTCACCTGATGAAGAGAGGGAAGAGCATCTTTGCAGACCAGCTCACTAACCTAGTAAGGAGGGCTTTAAACTTGGTTTGCCAGGGGATGGAGACCAAAGCCCTGAGGTAAGTGAGAGACCTGGAGGAAAAGCAAGCAGGAAGAGGCAATAGGGGAGGTGCTCTCATACTTCCTGAGAAATCAGGGCAATCAACTACCTACCTCAGGTGCCTGTACACAAATGCATGGATACAAGCAGGAAGAATTGGAAGTCCTTGCGCAGTCACAGAATTATGACGTGACTGGAATAAGAGAGACTCGGTGGGAGCTCGCATGACTGGAGTACAGTCATGGATGGATACAACCTGTTCAGGATGGATAGGCAGGGGAGGAGGGGGGGGGGTGCATTTCATGTTAAAGAGCCATATGATTGCTCAGAGCTCCAGTATGAAGCTGGAGATGGGCCTGTTGAGAGTCTCTGCGTTAAGGTTACAGGGGAGAGCAACAAGGGTGATGTTATAGTGGGTGTCTGCTATAAACCACCAAACCAGGACAATGAAGCACATGAGGCTTTCTTTAAACAGTTGGCAGAAGTTTCCCCAATCACAATCCCCGATTCTCATGAGGGACTTCAGTCACCATGACATCTGCTGGGAGGACAATACAGCAGTGCACAGGCAATCCAGGAAGTTTTTGAACAATGTTGGGAACAACTTCCTAGTGCAAATTCTGGAGTGGCCAACTAGGGGACACTCTTGACGTGCTTCTCACAAACAGGGAAGAATTGGTGGGGAATGGAGTAGTGGATGGCAACTTGGGCAGCAGTGACCGTGAGATGATTGAGTTCAGGATCCTAAGGGAAGGAAGGATGGAGAGCAGCAAGAGTAAGGACCCTGGACTTCATAAAAGCAGACTTTGACAAGTCACAAAAAGGAAGCTTATAAGAAGTGGAAACTTGGACAAATAAATAGGGAGGAGTATAAGAGAAGTGTAAGAGCACTGCTTGAGCATGTACAGATGAAGTCAGGAAGGCCAAAGCATAACTGGTTTTGCAGCTAGCAAGGGACATGAAGGGTAACAAGAAGGGTTTCTACAAGTATGTTGGTAGCAAGAGGAGGATCAGGGAAAGTGTGGGTCCCTTACTGAATGGGGGAAGGGATCTTGTGATAGAGGATGCAGAAAAGGCTGAAGTGCTCAATGCCTTTTTTGCCTCAGTCTTCACAGGCAAGGTCAGCTCCCAAACTACTGCACCAGGCAGCAAGCTTGGGAAGAAGGTAAGCAGCCAACAGTGATGAAAGAGTAAGTCAAGGACTATTTAAAAAACCTGGACATATGCAAGTCCATGAGGCCAAATGGGGTGCATCTGAGGGTACTGAGGGACTTGGCTGATGACATTGCAAAGCCAACGGTCATCATCTTTGAAGACTCAAGGCAATCAGGAGAGGTCCCAGATGATTGGAAAAGGGCAAACTTAGTGCCCATATTTAAGAAAGGGAAAAAGGAGAATCCAGAGAACTACAGACCAGACTAGTCCCTAGAAAAATTATGGAGCATATCCTCATGGAATCCATTACTCCTCCACTGGAAGAGAAGGCGATTAGGAACAGTCAGCATGGACTGACCAAAGGCAAGTCATTCCTGACCAACCATCATCCAATTGCCTTCTATGACGAGGTAACTGGCTCTCTGGATGTGGGGAGACCAGTAGATGTGATATACCTTGATTTTAGCAAAGCTTTGGATATGGTTTCCCACAACATTCTCGCAGGCAAGCTAAGGAAGTATGGGCTGGATTAATGGACTAAGGTGTGTGCGGGCCCTCTCCCGATCCCACCTGGGTCGCCACGTGCGAGTTCTCTCCCGATCCCATCCTCGTTGCCATGTGCGAGCCGGGGGCGAGCCGGGCCCATCTTTGCGCACGCGGGCTGTGGCCAGCAGCCCGGGCACGTGGGGTTGGAGAGGACCGGTGGCGAGCTAGAATTAGTCACGGACGCGTAATGGTTGATTTAAAGATTGTTTACTTACACCAAAGATGATCGTGGTGTAGGCTGGACAGTTTCCAGGTTCAGCTCCGCTTAAATCCTCGTTAGAGGACTACGACAATTCGTTCTTTGCCCCGGAGTTATTGAAGCTCCGCGGGTTCGGTAGTTTCTTTGCCCCGGAGTTATTGAAGCTCCGCGGGTTCGGTAGTTTCTTTGCCCCGGAGTTATTGAAGCTCCGCGGGTTCGGTAGTTTCTTTGCCCCGGAGTTATTGAAGCTCCGCGGGTTCGGTAGTTTCTTTGCCCCGGAGTTATTGAAGCTCCGCGGGTTCGGTAGTTTCTTTGCCCCGGAGTTATTGAAGCTCCGCGGGTTCGGTAGTTTCTTTGCCCCGGAGTTATTGAAGCTCCGCGGGTTCGGTAGTTTCTTTGCCCCGGAGTTATTGAAGCTCCGCGGGTTCGGTAGTTTCTTTGCCCCGGAGTTATTGAAGCTCCGCGGGTTCGGTAGTTTCTTTGCCCCGGAGTTATTGAAGCTCCGCGGGTTCGGTAGTTTCTTTGCCCCGGAGTTATTGAAGCTCCGCGGGTTCGGTAGTTTCTTTGCCCCGGAGTTATTGAAGCTCCGCGGGTTCGGTAGTTTCTTTGCCCCGGAGTTATTGAAGCTCCGCGGGTTCGGTAGTTTCTTTGCCCCGGAGTTATTGAAGCTCCGCGGGTTCGGTAGTTTCTTTGCCCCGGAGTTATTGAAGCTCCGCGGGTTCGGTAGTTTCTTTGCCCCGGAGTTATTGAAGCTCCGCGGGTTCGGTAGTTTCTTTGCCCCGGAGTTATTGAAGCTCCGCGGGTTCGGTAGTTTCTTTGCCCCGGAGTTATTGAAGCTCCGCGGGTTCGGTAGTTTCTTTGCCCCGGAGTTATTGAAGCTCCGCGGGTTCGGTAGTTTCTTTGCCCCGGAGTTATTGAAGCTCCGCGGGTTCGGTAGTTTCTTTGCCCCGGAGTTATTGAAGCTCCGCGGGTTCGGTAGTTTCTTTGCCCCGGAGTTATTGAAGCTCCGCGGGTTCGGTAGTTTCTTTGCCCCGGAGTTATTGAAGCTCCGCGGGTTCGGTAGTTTCTTTGCCCCGGAGTTATTGAAGCTCCGCGGGTTCGGTAGTTTCTTTGCCCCGGAGTTATTGAAGCTCCGCGGGTTCGGTAGTTGTCTATTCAGCACTGGTAAGGCCACACCTGCAGTACCGCAGTCAGTTTTGGACCCCCCACTACAAAAAGGATGTGGACAAATTGGAGAGAGTCCAGTCAAGGGCAACAAAAATGGTGAGGGGGCTGGGGAACATGACTTCTGAGGAAAGACTGAGGGAACTGGGCTGTGGCAGTGCACTTGTAGTGCCTGCCACTTTGAGGGTTGAGTCAGGCAGCCAACAGGTGCCTGATTGCAGCAACCATTTTAAAACACAGGACAGCTATATAAACACAGCAGTTTGCTGCTGGCAGCCAGGCAGAGACATGGCTTGGCTCAACTGCTGTATGAAACATCTGGCAGGTAAGAGCAGGGGGCTCTTGGTTCTGAGCATGACCTAAAAACTGCACACTGCCTGGTGGGGCTCCTGGTAGCATGGAAGCCCCACTCATATGCCAGGACTATGAACCACCCTGGTAAAAGGTAGGTCAGTGCACCTTAATAACCCTAGCCCCCACAACCGGGTGGGTAACCCCATAGTAGGGCCCAAGAAGGCGGACCCATGTTAGAGGGTGTGGGCTAGTTGCTCAGAAGCCTGACTTGAGGCACCCTCAACTGGTCAATGCTGGGGCCAGGACCAGAAGGATCAAAAGGGCCAGGGGCCCACCACACGTAATGCCCAGAGCCAGGGGGCCTGGGGCTCCGACTGGTCTTGGAGGTGAGGCCAGGGCCTGTGTGGCCAAAAGTCCCAGGGGGGCGGGGCATGCCCGAAAGGAAGAAGAGTGCAGGGAACTTGGCAGCCCAGAATTAGAGCAGAGCAGGCTGCCTGATGGGAAGGGATCTAGTTGGGGTCCAGACTAGAGCATTACAGGGCCTAGTGGGGACCAGAGACATTAAGAACTGAGTTGCTATCTGCGAGGCACAGGCCACCATGTAGGGGAGGTTTGGAGTGGTGAATGAACCCCCTGACATTGGGCATGTAATGGGTAGTCTCTCTACTGTCCCCATAATTGGTGGAAAGTGTAAGTCATGGCAGGTGAGGCTGGGCGGACAACCCCACAGAGACAGGTGGGCAGGCCAACTCAGAACGCAGCCCTGGGCATGCCCCCTGTCACACGGATGTATTTAGTTTAGAGAAAAAAAACAGGAGATTTAATAACAGCCTTGAACTACCTGAAGGGGGGTTCCAAAGAGGATGGAGCTGGACTGTTTTCTCAGTGGTGGCAGTTGACAGAACAAGGAGCAATGGTCTCAAGCTGCAGCAAGGTAAGTTTAGATATTAGGAAGAATTTTCTCACTTGGCAGATAGGAAAACATTGGAACAGGTTACTCAGAGAGGTAGTAGAATCTCCATCCTTGGAGGTTTTTAAGCCCCAGCTCGACAAAGCTGGGGCTGGGATGATCTTGTTAGGGATGCTCCTTCTTTGAGCAGGGGGCTGGACTACATGACCTCCGGAGGTCCCTTCCAACTCTAATTTTCTGTGATTCCATGATAATTACTGAACTGATTACCAACTCATCTGCTTGGTTTTCTCACTCAAAACAGGATCTCAAATGACAGCTACAACAGAAGCAATCCTGACAGAAGATAAACACTGAAGGACTCAAGGATCCAATCAAGCGAGCCCTCTTCCACTAGTGCCACTATAAAAACTGGTGAATTCCCACCAACAATAGGAAAATGTCAGTAGTGCTTGGGGTACCTTCAAATTCACCATCCTCTGCACCTGCGAAAAGACACTTGATGTTTCTTTACCAGAAATCATCAAAACTGGTTTGATGAGAATGTCTAGGAAATCCAGGAGTTGAATGACCACAAACTCAAGGCCTCGTGTGCTTGGCAGAACATCACCACCAAGCAAAAGAAACTGGATTACCAACAAGCCAAGGCAGAGGTCCAAAGAAGGACACACATTAAAAGAACAGATTGTGAGAAGGTGAAAGATTCAACATCTCACTGACAGCCACGATGTGTTGGTTTTTTTCAGTGCCACTAAATCCATCTATGATCCAAGCACTCCTGGACCAGCCCCCTTGAGACCTAAGGATGGAGGAGACTTGATCAAGGAAAGTGGAGCCATCAATACCCATTGGCAGGAGTATCTTGAAGATTTTCTTAATCGAGGCAGTTGTTGACAAGAGTGTTCTCAACTCCATCCCGCAACCCCGCCAGAGATGATCTCGGAATCCCTGCAGCCGTCGATAAGGTAAGGAAAGCCATCAAGCAGATGAAGAATGACAAGGCATCTGGAACTGATAAAATCCCCACCAAAATCTTCAAGTTGGGAAGTGAGGGGGGAGGGGAAGAGAGAAGCTCACAGTGAAGCTCCACACCCTCATTTTAAGTATTCAGAATGAGGAGGAAATCCCAGATAACCTCAGGGACACCATGACTGTGACAATATTCAAGAAAGGAGATAAGTCTGGCTGTGGAAACTATAGAGGGATCACTTTGCTGTCTACCACAGGAAAGCACTGTGAGAACCCTCCTGGACCATCTCCTCCCACTTGCTGAAGAGCTCCTCCTGGAGTCTCAGTGTGGGTTTAGGGCAGCAAAAGGCAAAACTTTCGTGATCTTCACAAGTTGCCAGCTGCAGGAAAAATGCCAGGAACAACATAACTCTCTATCCGGACTTCTCCGACCTCACAAAAGCCTTCAACTCTGTCAACCAGGAAGCATTGTAGAAGATCCTTCTGAAGTACAGACGCCCACTGAAAATCACCACCATTCTTTGCATACTGTCATGGAACAGGCAAGTGGTGGTTCTCAATAACGAATCCATCTCAGATCTCTTTGAGGTTAAGACAGGAGTTAAGCAAAGCTGCATCATCCCTCCAACTCTCTTTTCAATATTCTTTACCACAATGCTACATTTGACCAACAAGCTTCCAGTTGGAGTAGAGCTAAACTACCAAATGGATAGTAAGCTGTTTAATCTCAGCTGACTCCAAGCCAAAACTAAGACCACCCCACCTCAATCACTGAGCTCCAGTATACCAATGATGCTGTAGTCTATGCTCACTTGGAAGTAGACCTTCAGGGAATTGTCGATGTCCTTACTAAGGCATACAAGAAAATGGGACTGATGCTTAACATTCAGAAGACTAAGGTCTTCCAACAAGCAGCTCTTAATGAACAGTCCCCAGCTCCAGTAATTCAGATTCAAAGCAAGACTCTAGATAATGATTGTTTCATGCACCTCAGATACCATCTCTTGCAGAAGGTTGACATCTACAAAGAAATCCAATACTGCCTCAAATTGCAAGTGCAGTCTTCAGACACCTAAGGAAATTGGTGTTCAAAGATCCCAAAATCAGGCAACCCAAAGATGCCTGAGGGACAAAGATCCCAGAATCAGCAATGGGCTTCCAAGGGAGATGGTGCTCTCCCCTACCTTGGGGGTCTTTAAGGAGGAGGCTAGACATGCACCTGGCTGGGGTCATCTAACCCCACAACTCTTTCCTGCTCCTGGCAGGGGGTTGGACTCTATGATCTACTGAGGTCCCTTTCGACCCAAACATCTATGAATCTTTCATATTTCTGTTAAAGTCAGATTCTAATATTATTGCAGCTTAAGTGCAGTTTTTTACCATTAATCCCTCTTACTTCCTTTCTATTCTAGTTTTACTCTTGATCTCTTGCACTTCTGAAATGCCTTAGTTCAGGAGTGCAAGAGCCCTAATACATGAAAAAATATGTTTTAATACTTTAACTTATTTGCAATTTTTCTGTAAAGTATGAAAAGGTACAGAAGACTAATATAGTTTACATCTTCAATTTTATAGGACTGCCTAAGAGCTGTTACTAAAAACAGAATTTGAGAAAATACGTTTAGATCTTAATATCAACCTACTGCTTCCCAAATATACAAATTAAATGAAAAAGTCGAGTAATACAAGGAGAGAGTCCAAGCTGAATTGCATAAAGCCCCTTCAATTAATTTACAAAACTTTAAAAACTTACACAAGACACACGAAATGGTCCAAAAGTTACAGCCTCTTCTCCACATACAGGCCAGTAACGCTCACATTTTTTCTGTTAAAACACAAAACATAATCCTAAATTAACCCAGGATCCAAATTTTAATAAAACCACAGATAGCAGAAGTATATTAAAAACGTTGTTAATCCTTGCTATTTTATCCCCAAGCTTCATCCTGTTTGGTGTTTTTTCTTATAGCTACTGTTCCTGTGAAAGAATCTCAGCTTTCATTTAAAAATAAAAAAAAATACAATCTTTGTGGCCAAGAGAAGTTATAAGAGACAAATAGCAAAAGCCAAAAACTCAGAAGACCAAAAACAACCAAAAGATTTGCAAAAGTAAGACTTAAGACTCATGATTCTGGGGGCCTGCTTCAAAGTGGTGTGTGGGCACGTGTGTGCATGACGCACCTCCAGTAGTGGAGGTAACCTTTCCCTGATGAAAATGTATATAAAAATTGAGTAAATATGCATGGATTTAAATATAGGCAGTAGGCCTTTCCATTCCCCCTCAACTGATAAAAGGTCCTGATACACTCCAGTCAAGATTCTTTACCACTCTGTAAATGAACTTATGCCCAATAGGACCATTAAAAATCTCCATGATAAAATCAGAGGTAGAACTAGGATTAGTTCATTTTAAATTTATACGAATATTTGCCCAACTAAATATGAAAATTAGTTCATTTTCTATTCAGGCTCCTATAGTACTCCCCGTCAGCAAAATACACCCACTTTATGGAATGAAAAAGCAGTTCCCATTCACTGAGTTCTACTGTATATTGATGCAATTTTGCTCCTGAATATAAATTTAGCAGCTCCTATCATTCATTCTGAATGACAAAACAATGTTTTCATTGAATGCGATTTACCTGCATTTATAATGAATGACTGATTTTTCATATGCAGCCTCATTGTTATTTACACACTATCCTAAGTGAGATTTTAGTATCCATCTAATTTTAGTATACATACCCTTCCCATTTCAAACTCTCGACAAGCCATTACAATTATCTGAAAAAGGAAAATTAAATATAAATTATAAAATATTCAACACCATTTATGAAAGTATGTTATGAAACTTTTCCACTCAAACGAGTGCTGAGAACCCATAATGGCCATTTGCATTAAAGCACAAGATACACACATGAAAAATTGCAAACTTAGATGCAGCATATACCTTTATACTTTTTAAACAGTCTAAATTACATCCTGCACAGTGCCACTCCCTGAGCTTGGCTCCTGGTGCCTAGCAGCTAAGCAGAGAGTAGCAGGGCAAATCCTCTGCTTCCTTCTCACGCTGGGAACTCCAGCATGAGCAGCAGGCTGTGCTGCTCCCTGCATTCAGTTCAGGACAATGAGTTAGATTTCTTCATTAACCAATTGAAGGAAACAGATTAAAAATTTGTAAATAGAAAGTGACCGCTATTTTTCATAAAGCTACATGCATTAACATTAAATACAAAAATACCTGCAACTGACCCCTCTGCCCTGCTCCTTGTGCTTTGCAAGGCCAGGGTGATCCCACAGTCTGAGAAAAGCATTGGCTTCTCCACTCCACCTGTTTCCAGGAACACTGGACAGTGGGGCAAAGCCCCATGCCTGCTTCTCACACCAGGGCCTCCAGTGTGAATAGAGGGCAGGTGGTTTGCCCTGCTACACCAGGGAGGCCCTCCCTGAGCCTGTTCCCCTGCCGGCTAGCTTCTGGCTGCGCAGCAAGGAGAGTAAATGGGAGGCCAATCAGGCTGGGCACCAAGCTGCAGAAAGCCTCTCTAAGCCCAGACTCCTAGCCACACTCGCTTTTAATTCACCACCTTCACTACTCAAAGGAGGGGGCCAAAGGGAAGCAGCCAGGGGACAGTGCCACTCCATGAGCTTGGCTCCCAGTGCCCAGGACCTAACTAGAGAGAACAGCAGGGTCCTTCTCTGCCTATTTCTCACACTGGGAACTCCAGTGTGAGCAGCAGGCTGGGGCCTGTGCTGTTCCCCGTGTTCAGCTCCCCATGCCCAGCAGCTCAGTGGAGAAAGTGGCACAGTGAAGCCCTTGCCTGCTTCTCACACCAGGCACTCTGGAGTGAGAAGCAGGCAGGGAGCAGCTGGCAGCTGCTCCTTCCTCCCCTTCCAGTCTACAGAACAGGTGGGAGGAGGTCTCTCTCAATTCTTCTCCCGACTCGTGACCCTGGGCTCAGGAAGGCTATCCCAAGAAAGAGTTAAGCCAAGGGCAAGTGTGCAGATGTTCAGTCTCCTGGGAGAAACTCAGATTTAACCCTGATTGGTCCTGGGTCATTTTTCCCAGAGCAGCCATTTTTGCTTAAGCGGGAAAAAGTATGAACATCTGCACGCTTGTGGTTTCTACCAGGAGAATACTAATTCTCCTGGTAGAAACTGATCATTTGTACATATCCTTAAACAGATGTGCTTTGAAACAGAGTGATCTGTTTTTTTTCAAATATTAGAACTGTATTATTAAAACTGAAGGGGTACATTTTTGAAGGTTCATGAATCAGTTGAAAATGTACAAATTTCACAGACCTTACATATTAACTCAAGTCAACAAATTACATACGTCGTAGGCATATATGTTAGATTCATGAGTAAGCGCATACTTAAGAAAATCTTAAGTTTTGGAGTCTGAACTTTATTGCAACCAATTTTGCATGAATATAATGGACCACAGGGGTAGCACGACGGTGATTAATAAAGTGTTGAGCTATTTGTAAAATGCACATATTTTTAAACATACAAAACGAAATGGTTTATAGTCAGTATTATAAATTGAATATTTAAAAGTTATTCATAATACACAAAGCTCTAGTTAAACATTACAGGTCTGTCATATTTTAGAGTCTCTGGAATGACTGGCAAAAGTCCAAATTGCTCAATTTCTGTAAACATTCCTTATTCCAGAATTTTCAGTAAATTAAACATGCATTCTTAACTGCTCAACATAACAAGGGATAAGGTAACAAATTAAGAAAAAAGTAGGTTACTTACTGCAACATTGTACTCCCATATCATCCTCCAGAAATCTATTACTGTATTTGCTAATGGTCCCTGGGTAGCAACATATGCTTTTGGCCCATATACTCCCTAAAATTGCACAAAGAAATAGCTAATGTTCATAAAGAAAATCTGGTTTAAAAGGTTCCCAATTTCATAAATTAAACGCAACTGTAGAATCTCTTTGCAATGTATTCCTCTTCTCTGAGCTACTCTTTTTTTCTACTTCCAAAAGATAAGGACTAGCCACTACCACATTCCAAATACAGTGGAAAAGTGTACACCAAATCCTGGCTCCAGTGAAATTCATTTCAAATATGGCTCCAAATGAAGTCAAGATTTCATCTGTTTGTAATTGTTTTTCTTACTACTGTATTTATTCACAAGGCACATATACCCTTTTCTCAAAAATTAGCTTTCCATAATTGTCTTAAGCAGGGAAGCAGAAAGTAAGTGTGGAGATGCTGTAAGATGACTGTTGCTCGTTTTCCCGGGTCTTTCCTCCAGCAGCTACATGGATAGAGGAGCAGAGTCCAGCAGGGGTAGATCCCATGAGTACAGCGGTACGGTCACAGCCACTTTGATTCCTGCTCTACCCGAAGTTTAAAGCCAGCTGCCATCAGTGGCATTTCTATTTAGGCAGCTGAAAGAATTACCTTAAAGGCTCATTATCACCTGATTCCCAGTAATGTCTCTCCGCTCCACAACCCCCTCTCTTTTTTTAAATGGTCTTGATGTTCCATTAATAGAGCTATCCTTTCTTGACAATTTTGCTGTTCGTTAGTTACTCCTGCTCTCTCCCCAGTTATTTCACAGTCCTATAGACGCTTTTTAGCTCTTTTCAAAACCCTAGATCCACTCATGGATCCACTTCAGTAGCAACTAGTTTCAGCTTTTGGTTAAGCAGGAAAGGGAGAGTGAAAGTGAGCTAAAGATTAGGTTCTTTCCCTAATCTATTCCACCATAACCTTGGGGAAAAAAACAACTTTCTTCATTCTTCCACACACAAAACAAGATGCATCATGTCTTCTTTGGGAACATGTGGTATGTGAGAAAATTTGGGGGCCATTTTCTAAAAAACTGAGCAGTTTGTAAATTAAGTGGACATTTTATAAAAAAAAAAATCTTTAATTCTGTCAATTCCCCTGACTTATAAAAGCTTTCCTCCTCCATTGTTAAATGATTTAAGATAAAATTGGAAAACATGCATCCTATCAAATTTGCCCATTATGGAAAGTCTCAAGGAAAATGTGCAATTTTTTTTTTTTTTTTTTTAAAAAGAGACAAGAAATGCAACTCCTTTTAAATAACGTTACATTTCAACGTTCATTTTTTCAAGGTTAAAATAGGCCTGTAAAATTTATGCAACCAGAAAAATTTACTATAAATCAAATACAAGCATTCAGTTTCCACTGGCTCCACACATTCATGTTTTTTTAATCAAATTTATATAAAAATAACATTTATTTAAAAGAAAAAACACCTCTTTTTTTTAGCAAAAGGTTGTGATTAAAAGCATCACCTGACAGAAACCTAAAGGAAAATGCAAGGAAAGGTTAATAATTGTCCCTTAAGGATGTATAGCCAAAGGGCAAACTATAACAATATTCTATCAAATCTGTAACTGGAGTTTGTTTTCTAAATGATTAAAATATTTATTGTATTAGCCCGCAAATTATGAATTTGACGTCCTACACAAATGTTGCATCTGTAATACCTCAATGCAGTAAGTGATTTTGTATTCAACTGCACATGAATGCATATGTATCCATAGATTGTATATACCCACCTTATTAATCATCTCTTAAAAGGCAATCATAGGCTATTTTTAATCTGTTATTTGGAACAGCACATTTCAACATAATTACAAATACAAACTTTTAATGAGGTAAACTTGCATCTTCTTTTGCTTAACTGGAATATGTTTTAATAAAAAGTGTATGTACCTTGTAGTATAAATAATATTAAACCCTAAAACTTAAATCTGAGGCAGTATGCTTGCAAAGGAAGTAAAATTGTGCCAAATGAAAACCTTCTCTAAAAGATTTTATTTTATTTCATATAGTACATTGAATATTAACGAGATTAAAGAGGCACTATTATAAAAACCAAAGCTCAGAAAGTATTTTAATGTAGTTAGATATTAATACATACCTTAATAAAATTTGCATTGATGTAGTCTGAATCTTGCGGGGGAGTTTTTAAAGTCAGTTTAACCCGGCTGTGATCAACTAAAAAAAAATAGTTTTTAGTGAAGAATTACAGCATGTGTTAAGATATACCTGATGCATAAATAAAACAATGCTTGATGGGGTAAATTAGACATTAACAGAACGTTTCCCCATTGTGATGAGGAATAGTAGTTGGGAGCACAGACAAGCCAGTCAATAAAATTAGCAATTTCTAAATAAACTAATGCAAGTAGAAGGGCAGGGTAACAGCCACCACCATGTCCTTTTCAGAGGATCTCTAACTCAGGTGGCTAATTATTGCCCCCCCCCCTCCCCCCAAAAGTGAGATTCAGCACAGCAAACGCAAGTTATTAAGTTAAGCAAAATTTAGTTGCACAATATTAATGGCAACAATGATGGTTTGTCTAGAAATGGAAGAAACAAAGTTGAATTCCTTTACAGGAGAAACAAGTAATAAAAGGAAAAAAAATAGAAAAATCATCAATAGAGTTTGCTGACATGAATTCAGTTGGCTGAGGAGGTGAACTTAAGTGTGTCAACTATAGCACAGAGGTTCTAAATGTGGCCTGGGAGATATGCAACTGGAAGTAGTTGATTGAGCAGGATTTACTTAAATCAGTTTCTTAAAAAATTTCATTTCTACCCAAGAGAAATTCTAAAGGTAGAAACTTTTTCCAAGTAATTTTTAGGATAAAGGCTCAATTTTTCCATTTCCTTCAGCCTACCAAACATTCAAGGGAAAAATTCCAGGAGACTAAGAACACTTAAAACTACCAATGCCATAGTTGAGTTGGGAGCTGCAATATAGTTGTTATGGTCCGGAAAATGAGTGAAAAGCAAAAGTTGTTTGGTGTTTTGGGTTTTTTTTGGACCAGGCATACAGCTGAAAGATGTCAGGCAAGCCCTTCTTTATATAGAAAATGCTGATATATCATGGCACCTGGCTGAAGGGCCGTTAGGTCACTAAGACTCAACTGAAACTATCAGGACAGTTCACCACTTTTAACTATTATTTAGGTGCAGACTCCAACTAATATAGCTACTCCAGTTTATATTTAGTTTGTTTTCAAGAATCTCCACAGGTTTAAGGGCTGTACGTTTTTTAAATGAAAGTTCATTCTGCACTATAAAATTGTTCAGCAAAGTTGAATTACATTGCAAACTCTGAGATCCCAAGTACTCTGCAATATTGAACATATATGCACCTTTATTGTTTAGAGTTTAAAATTGTTCCATTTAAATAATGAATACTCAATATTTTAAGCTAAAATAGCATTTAGGATAGTTTATTAAACACAGCATGTGCAGGTTAAGAACACATGCCAATTTAGGCTGAAACTAGGCTGGTCTGAACTCGTGATGGGCACCCTAATCCTACTTCTTTCTCTGGCAAAAAGAACAAATTCTCCCAAATACAAAGATAACCTAGAAATGCTTTTATTTTTCAATTTTTTTATTTTTAAATTGTAAAAAAATGTACTTATAACTTTTTAATCTATTTGCTTCATTATGAGATAGTAAGAAGAAAGTATTTTCCCTGGAAAAGTTTTCTGGATTTTTTTTAATTTTTTTTTGTTAAGAAATCACAATTACCATACCAGATCTCTTGAATATCTGAGAAAATGCATGCCTTAACCAAAGGGAATCATACATCTGAACTTCCAATTGACCTGAATAACAATGAATTCAGGCAACATTTGCCCCATTTTTCATATTACTATCAAACAGTTGATTTAGCTCCCAATTGCCCCACATTCAATTTTATCTCCTGAGCTAGTTTTGTGTTTTTCAATGTTAAAAGGAAAAAAAGAAAAATAAAACCTGAGAAAAGATGTTTTTGCCAAGGTACCAAGTGCTTATTTTACTATTAAGAACACAACAGCATTTCAGCAACATCAGACTTATGAATTCATGCCAGCCAGATACCTACAAAAATGTTATTTTTGCCTTTTTATTATTACAAGAAGCATGCCTTCATCCTTCTCCAAAGGCCATGTCAGGCATCTCTTTTGCAGTCTGTCTGGAAAGGCACCAAATTTGGAGCACGTTAGATCAAGGTAGAAAGCTTCAGAGTTGGAGCCCTCAGAGAGCACTCTACCTTCCAAGGACAAACTGGAAAGATTAATTTCTGTCTGGGACTACAGAAGGCAAAGGTCCTTAAATGTTTTTTGTGCCTCCTCCACAGTGGACACAATGCATCTTAACTTAGATGAAACACAATCTGGCCCTCAATTAGAGGCCTAAGTGGACTTGGGCATCTTAAGCCTTGGACACACATTCATTTTTAGCACTAAAAAATAGATAAATAAATGAAGTACAAGGAGGCATGCACTGTCTGGGGTGCTACAAAGCTGATACGAAGGCTCACTCAACTAGTTTTTGCTATCATGGCAATCTGAAAACTACCAGCAGTAGCAACAACTAATTAGATAGTATCCCCCACTCAATTAGCTAGGGCTGCCACTGGCAGCCCAAGGAGGCAGCAGCTGATCCAGCAGTCCTGCCTACCCAATGAACTGTTACTGCTCTACCTGAGAGTCCTCTCTTCCCTACCCCCCCAAACCTGGGTAGTGACAGTGACAGGTCTTCCCACCAATGACAGTACAACAGTATCAGTCTTGCTGGCATTCCCACTGCAGTGGGGCAGCAGGGTGCTGGTAGGACTGACAACTCAATGTTACAAAGCTACTGCTGCCCATCTCTGCTGAACAGCCGATTACTGAAAATAAAACAAAAATCAATGATGAAACAGAATTAAATTCTGAATTAATCTGCTGCTTATGGAAAGTGCCAGTTTGCCAGATCTGGAAACAAAAGGTCCGGGTATTCATAAATACCTTTTTAATGCAAAAGCCTTACATATGAAAATAACTTAAGATTGGTAGGGACAAGGAGCACCTCTCAACTTGGTGATAAAATTAAGATGTTGCAGTGAATCTTACAGCAGAGGATAATTCCCATATAATTTAGCTGTTCAACAGGATGTGAATAGTAAGACTCAAGGTATATTTGGAAAGTATAATTAACGTCTCTTTGTTCTATATAACAGAAGTCAAACTTACATGGTAGTATGTCCTTATATCTATTCTTTTTAACATTTTCTTCTTTTTCACCAGTGGCCGTTGGATAGATCTTTTCTGTTCTATATTTGGTTGATAATCTTCTTAACCTCTGAAATAAAGATGATAAATTTAAGCAATGTTTTAAGGTCTGAACATAAACATTAAGCAAATAAAGGTCATCCCTATTGTACCAGCATCATGCTAAACTGTGAAAACAGAACTATTTAGTAGTCACCCTTTCCCCCACAACCCGATTTCCTATAATCAAGTGACAACTACACTTAAAGAAATAATTATATGCTTTTTTGCATCACTCCAAAAGTAAGACTTTGGTGACAAACTTTTAGGTTGAGCTAACTGAAGTTAGGAAGGAAAGGCAATATACAACTCCTCTTAAATGTACAGTACAAAGGAGCCATACAGGTTTCCCTCGTTTTATGTGGGTTCTCCATGTGTGATGACCCTTTTTATACCAAAAATTCATTATATGAGGTAAATTCACTCTTATACAATTGGTGTGGTGGAAGCCCACAGTCAGCTGCTTTGTGCAGTGCATTGTGGGAGTGACACGCACCAAAAGACAGTCTCTTCTGTGGATCTGTGCTCCTCACTCGTTGTCTGAGACGCATGTTTCTGTAGTTGCCATCCCCATTATGGTAAAATTCACCACCACCCTGTGCTTGTGTGTACCATCTGCTGTTGGCGAGTACCAAAATTGTCTTGTAAGCGGTAGAAATGGGTCCGCGGGTCAGTACAGTCAAGGTCTTGGAACGTATCCCTATTTGTTACATTGTAAAGTGGGTTCCCTTTATGTGAATTTGAGTTGTGCGCCATTTTCCAGGAACGCATGTACAGCATAAAGTGAGGGAAACCTGTACTATCTCATCTCTCAGGGAGACTGAAGTTAAAGGAAACCCCATGAAATTTTGAGTGAAAAAGGGAAAAGCCAGACAAGTCAGTTAAGAGTTCTGTTATAAGCTAATGAAAACTGGGCAGGGAGAAGGGAGGGGAAGGTATTTTTGGTTTGTTTTCTTTAATTCAAGTATTTGTGTCTACTAGCTTCATCTATAGCAACACCATAAGTAGAATTTTCCCATACAAGAAGTAATTTTTATTCAGACTACTTAAAATAATATTTTGAACACCTGATAAAGCAGCTGCTGAGAAATACTGAGCATCAACACTACCAGTGACGAAATTGTGAAAAATGTGTGCACAGGCTAAGATGCATCCAAAGACATCTATCCAATAAAGGCAACCATTAGTACAATACTGGGTGTACCTGCATGCTAAATTTACCATTCCACCCAGCGCAGCCATGCTGCCTTGTGCAAACTAGGCCTCTGAAAGACATCCAGTTTAAGGTCCCATGGGAACTAAGCTCACGTGTATAGCAGGATGTGCAATTTTGAGATCAGAGATTAGATACCCATCACACCTTACTTATCAGTGCAGGGACAGTCCAGGATCATGATCCCTGGGCTCCCTCTGGACCAGCAAATTTAAACCCAGGTGCCAACAACTGTCAGTTGCAGCAGGGTACCAAACTGAGATCTGAAATCCAGCCCCAGTCAGGTCCCCTACCCCAGCTGACAAACATCAGAGGTTTCAACTGTGGCCTGAGCCGAGACCGGGTACGCTGCCCTGATGACCACCACACAGGGTTTTAAAGGTCTCAGGACACAGGGATCTGGGATCAGGCTATAGCAACCCAATCTCAGGGTACCCATGGCCAGAACTGAGTTAAACCCCATATGCTGCTCAACCTGGTGGTACACGGGGCTTTAAAGGTCCTAGCACACAAGAACCCAGTACTGGGCTATGGCAGCCCAATCCCAGGGTTCCCACGAGCTGGGGCTGAGTTAAACCCCACGTACCACTCAGCTAGGCAGCATGCCGAGTTTTCAACTTGCCAGTGCACAAAGACCCCAGGATCAGGCTGCTGGGACAGCTGTATGCCAGGCCCTAGGGCTGTCCCATACTATATCCTGACACTCAGCTGAGTGTTGGGATCCGTCATGGGCCAGCCACAAATATGCAATTTAAGGCGTTATACTAATGAACCACAGAGTATTATCCACTGTATTATCACACCTTAAATCTACTTAAACACATGGCTAGGTTACTATTTAAGATGTTAATCGTGTTTTAAAATGTAACATGTCAGGAGCCCTAGTGCGTCAACCACCAGCATTGCAGCCATGTTCTCACAGGACTGCAGGAAGGCTAACTGGCACTGTTAAGCATCCATGTTAATTAGACCTACACCAGTGCCATGCAGATAAAAAGAGGCATGCTACTTCCTGACAGGGAAGCCATGTGGAACAACAAAGTATATCTGAGGACACTACTATATGGCATGGTAAGTTTGCAGGGAGATCTGCCCACTGCACATAGTTTTGGTCACCAGAAAATAGGTGCATAGAGCCACTGAAGGCAATCGAGGGAATGGATAGCCTACTTTATGAGGAGACAAAGTGTTGGGCTTATTTAGCTTAGTAAAAACAAGGATATATGATTTCTGCCTATAAATAGACCAGGAAAATAAAGAAGGAAGAAAGAAAAGCTATGAGCTAAAAAGGCAATGCTGATACAAGAATAAATGGGTACGAACTGACCACAAATGAAATTTGGCTTGGAAATTATAAAGATTCCTATCCATTAAAGCAGAGACATCAAACTTCCAGGGCTCTGCACAGACTAACCCCAGGGCAAATGGCAGCAAACTTAAGCTCCACTGGTTTCTTAGCTGTGGGGCTCATCAGCTGCCAATGGAATTTGGGAACAGGCCTCTCCCCTGCTTGCCCCACACCAAATCCCCAGCTCCTCTAGGAGGTCTAGGATCCATATCTGGCCTGTGCATCTTTGACACCCCTAAAGTAAAGCAATCACATTCTGGAACAGCCTTGCAATGGAATAAGTGGGGGCAAAAAGAAAAAAAAAAAAGTCTAGTTGCTATTAAGATGGAGCTTAATAAATTTATGAAAGGGATTCCATGAAGTGGTGCCTGTAATCCAGGAAATCTCTTCTAGTTGTCTGTCCCATTCAAAAGTAAGAAAAATGCGGTTTATAATCTGAAACTTCCAAGCCTGCCAGCAAAAGGCAGGGAAAAAAACCCATACTTAACA